AGTGCAAAGTAAATTTAATACAATTCATCAAATTAAATTTAAATGGGCTGGTCTCCAACTTGTAAATCAATGGCTGGAGTTTGAGGTACTTTACTGGAACAGCTTTCCTTCAGTTAAGTTTCTTCAGCCAAAGAACAAAGAATTAGACACAGTGAATAATCTATCACTGGAAAAGCATGATGCCCATATGTTTAATTTCTCTTCATACATGGGAAGATAGATGTTTGATGTCTGCTGAGGCCAGTGGAAAGGTAACCAAGTGTTTTGTGCTACAGGGGACTCATAAGTGTGTTTAATGCTAGCTTATTTGAGAAGTAAGATAAATTTGAAATAGAGTAAACCTCATACCTCTAAGCTTGTAAACTTGTCTGTCTTTGGAGAGTGATAAGAAGCATTGGTAGAAGTAGTGCATTTATGGGAATTGAGCATATCTCTCTAAATAATATCAGATCTGTAGTTTTATTTAAGTGTCAGTCTCTAGGATTACTTCCTGTAATTGTTTCACCACAGCATGGTTTTACATGAGTTTAAGTCTTCAAAAAAACTTTACTGATTGTCTGTACTCTTAAGATTTCTTGTCATCTGGTCCTGCAGCTGAAAACCATCTTATGCATGCCTGTATCAACTTCAGCTTTTTTTTTTTTTCTAAATCTGTACATACCTTGTCTTTAGAGACTCCTTGGACTCTCCACCTGAGGAGGGCTCTCAGAAGTCTTCCCTCATTCTTTCCCTTCCACGCTTTCCAATCCTTTCTCGTCCTTCACTTCCCAAAGGGTGAGCTTAAAAAGATCTTTCTCACTAAAAAAATAGCAGTTCCTGCATTTGTATCATACTGTCTTTTGACCTGTCTTGCTACGAGATGCAGAGCATGGGTGCAGTGTAGGGTGGGGGGAAAGAGGACCTTAAGACTTCTGAACTTTATGTCCTGGAGCCAATCCAACAAATTATGAAAATTCAACATCTGTAATGTTAGTCCCCATACAGTTTTATGTCTGAACAGGAAACTTGTAGAACAGGATATTAACTGAGGTATTTTGATCTTGGGTTTTTGGTTTTTGCTTTGTGGCGGTGCCTAATGCACAGAGCTTTTTGCTTTTGAGACTCTTGTGGAGGACTAACACAGGTCTGGCTCCTGGAAATGTAAACTGATTTTTAATTGAACTTGGAAGTGCTTTCTGATGTTTGAAATAGGTCTTGCTGTTGTTAAGAATAATTTCTTACCGTTAAATTTCTTCTGTAGACAAACTCAGCCTGTTACAGTGAATCCTGTTAGAAGACGATCTTCATCCAGGATGTCCATGGTAAGGAAAGCAAATAGATTTATGTTTGCATTTTTATGGAATTAATTTGACTTTGAATCTAATATTATTTCCCTTCAGTGAAATGAAATGAGCAGTGAAAGAGATGAGTTTAGTATGTGAGGAACTGTTTCTGACCTGTAGGATGAGCTGCTATGTAATATCTAAATAGTGGAATTAAAACAATAGCAGTGAAAAATATTTTAAACACGTCTGTTTTCAGTTTGAACGCTGTCTCTAGGAGACTCTCCTAGCTGTCAGATGATGAGATACAGTCCTGGGTTAGTGGAGTGTGATTTCAAGTTTTTTTCCCTGTTTTTTTAATTATCTTTTGTATGACCTCAAAGGAGAAACTTACATTGCAGATTTAGAGAAATGGTTTAAGACTAAGGCTTTGTATGTGTTTATTTGTAATATTATACACATTCTAATATATAATGCATATTATTACTATGTATAGTTTTATATATATTATGTATAATATTGTACATATATGTACACACACACATATATATAATGGTATATATTATGTATTAAAAAAACCTTCAATAATTATTTTTAAAATGAATAATCAGTTTTTAAGTAACAGTAAGATGTTTGCTTTCTTAGCCCAAGCCTCAGCCTTACATGATGCCTCCACCACCTCAGCTGCATTACAATGGTCATTATAGTGAACCATATGCATCTTCCCAAGGTAAGTTCATTAAATCCGTGGCCACACTACACAGTTTTAGAAGGTAAAAACTATAATTTGTAGTTACTTTAGCTATAGCTGAATAAATTAGTAGGTGAACATGGGGTAGGTTTGAACTAGAACAGTCACTGAAGTGCTTGATGCTCCTCAAGACACGTAGGTTAATGTGAATTACAGTCATGGAATCACAAAATTGTTTAGGTTGGAAAATACCTTTAGGATTATCAAGTCCAACCATCAATACTGTCAAGCACTGTCAAATGCATCACTTAAACCATGTCCCCAGGTGCCACATCTACATGTCTGTTAAATGCCTCCAGGGATGGTGACTCCACCACTTCCCTGGATAAGCCCACTCCGATGTTCATCATTCTTTCCAAGAAGAAATTTCCTAACTGCCAACC